TAATTTTCCCTGGGACCCTTTCTATATCCTGACCGTTTAAGGGCAAGGAGTGCCCGACTTAGGCGCTGACAACCATATCAAGGCTCATTAGCGCTCAGTACTCAAGCTCATTGACGCACCCATTCATTCTTTCGTTTCACGGCGATGGTTGCGCGCCGACCCCGTGCTGGGGGTTGGGCAGGTAGCATCAGACCCTCTCAGCCTCTTCCCCAAGCGGACGCTCAGCGGCCCGACCCACGGTGCGGCCCGCACATCTGGCTCTCACCCGGGACCGCCGTCTCCTCCTTCCAGTGTTGGGAGAGAACAGTTAGTGTCACTGGAGAAGATCTTTTTATTCTTACTTATTCATTTTTAAAATATAATTTTATTGATTTCAGACAGGAAGGGAGAGGGAGAGAGAGAGATAGAAGCATCCATGATGAGAGAGAATCATGGATCAGCTGCCTCCTGCACCCCCCTTATTGGGGATCGAGCCTTCAACCCGGGCATGTGCCCTGACGGGGAATCAAACTGTGACCTCCTGGTTCGTAGGTTGACGCTCAGCCACTGAGCCACACCAGCCAGGCAAGATACACGTTCTTATTTTCCCATTCTACCCCCGCATGTGGCACACGCATTACTATTCTGCACCTTGGTATCTTCATCTCGGACATGTGTGGGTATCAGTGCGTAGAGCGCTGCCTCCCTCATGCCGCCGGGCTTCACCGTCCGCCTTGATTCGTTAGGTGCGCGTGGACCGGAGGACGTTTCATTCCTGGCTGGGGGGGCCCCAGGAGTGTCTGACGGCAGCATCAGTGTGTTCCACTCCTTATAAAGCCCTTGTGTTAAAGCTGTACTTTCCGCTTGCCCTGAGGCTAGCCGGAAAGCGACTGAAGCTGAAGACGAGAGGAAAGGGGCCCCTACCACCTGCGTTAGTTCCTCGAGTCCATCCGAAGCCGCGTTGACTTTGTGGGCGACCTTCAGGGAGCAGGCACCTTTGGGTCCCGGCCCCGAGTCAGCAGAGTTGGGTTGGGAGCCGGGCAGGGATCCCTTTAGGCTGTTTCCCTCCCGTGCACACCCCTCTCCAGTCCATGTTCTCGGCCAGTCACCCCAAAGCCATGCTCGTGGCAGCTTGTCCGAGACCCCGGCCGACACTGCTTTCCTGGCCGCCAGCAGCAGCGTTTTGCAAACCTGCCTCCCTGGGTGCTCACACAGTGTCTAGGGGACCCTGACGTCTCACGGAGACGTCGGCGAGGTCTCCTTGCTCAGCTCTGAGGGAGTGCTTCCCATGCGTTTCACACGTCTCGGCTCCCAGGCCCATGGCAATAGCTGGGCACATGCCTAGGCTGTGGGGGGTTGGGGGGGGAGGTCCATGAATCTGCCAAACCCCGTTTTCCTGCGACGGGAAGTCCCACGGGGAATGAATCCCACGGGCAGGAACAGCCCCGAGCCCAGTTTGAAGACAAAGACAGACAGCACAGCAGGAAAGGCGATGGCGGGGGCCAGTGAGGGAGGCGGGGCTGCGCGGCCTCCGTGGGGCCGGGCTGCTGGGTGTTGGGTGTTGTCACCAGCTGTGAGCTTAGGGGCCGGTTTATTTCGGGGCTGGAGGTGGTGGTGGGAGACGCTCCTCCCGGGTGGCCCCGGAGTGCATTTTGTGTGGCTGTTGTAGTCTCTTTGGAGAAGATGTGAGAATGGATAGGTCCATGTTTCCCAAGGTGCTGTTGGTTCCGCCCTTGGTTTCAGGTCTGGGAAGCGTTAAACAGGACGGCTGCCTGCGTTCTGTCCCCAGGAACGCGTAGGATTGGTCTGGGGTGAGGTCTGGGTGTCGGGCTTTCTGGAAACTCCCGACAGATGTCAATGTGCCGCCGGAGCTGAGGGCTACGCGCTGTGTCTACCTCGGGGAGAGGATAATAATGGAAAAGGCAGCGGTCAGAGCTTAGAGCTCTCTGTCTTGGGGATTCACAAAGCACGTTCCTCGTTTTAAGATTCTAAATGTGCTTTTCTAATAAACATTCATCCGGAATCTGCCCTCCCCCCCCCATCTCGGTGACCGTCGCTCTGAAGCACCGAGGGCACCTTTCCTGACCCGCACGCGTGGAGCACGCCCACCTGGCGGTCAGAACAACACCCTGGCATCGCAGCGGGAGCTGTGTTTGTGCTCCCGACCCCCTGGAGCATGGAAACGGGTGGCTTATCTCATAGTGACGGAGAACAATGCGGCTTTTCTCTGGGGGAGAAAGCCTTTCACAGGCCTCCGTGTGGCCCTGCTGCAATGGCCTTTGGCATGAACCCGCCTGTTTGCGTTCGAGGGTGTGTTGCGGTTGGGATGACCCCTGGTGACATCTCTGTTGCTGAGCGAGTCTTCCTGTGGCCGGAGCGATGACTGGTTGTCTGGGCAAGTCACAACTTGCAGGTCCCACAAAGGCTCGAGGGTCAGCCACTCAGAACTTGGCACTGGCTGCCTCCTCCTTCCTTCTCAAGCGAAGCAGACAGGCGCTGGGAGATGTGAGCCGCCATTATAAATACATCTGTGTGTGTGTGTGTGTGTGTGTGTGTGCATGTGTGTGTGTGTTTAACTTTTTAAAAAATATATTTTTATTGACTTCAGAGAGGAAGGGAGAGGGAGAGCTAGAAACACCAATGATGAGGGAGAATCATGGATTGGCTGCCTCCTGCACACCCCACACTGGGGATCGAGCCTGAAACCTTGAATGGAATTGAACCTGGGACCCATCAGTCTCAGGCTGACGCTCTATCCATGGAGCCACACCAGCCAGGGCTAAAATATCTCTTTACCTCAAATGTTGGAACAGATGTTGGTTAGCTTGCACATGATCCTGTGCTTTCTGTTGCAGTTCACTAGGCACTTAACTCTGTGCCTCAAAGGGAAAGTTCTCACCACGTTTTTCTCTTGACTCTCAAACATGTGGGAGCGACACGTACTTTACGCTCTCTCCTGGCTTTCCTTTCCTTCTCCACTTCTCGCAGCGATGGCTGGCTGCATCTCTGCTCCTTCCTGTTGATCTTTGGGGGGTCACGTCCCCCCCCCAGCCCCCATGGGTCTTTGCTAACCCTCGCCTTTGATGCTTGCTGAGACGGGGGAAATCGACATGCGTTTTGAAGGGTGAGGTGCCAGTTTCCCGAGGGTGGGAGATACACGGGAACACGGCTGATCTGGTCCCCACCGCGGAGCCCGTTCTCGGTCGGTGGGGGGCTCCGGGCGGAGCTGGGCCACCGTGGGAAGCAGACTGTCAGACGCCCCCTGTCACAGTGGCTGAGAAGCACACGACAGGGGACCCGGTGACAGACGCAGCAGCCAGGTCTCGGGAGCCACTGATCCATGTGAGGAGGCGCGTTAACATCTGCTCCATGTTTAGCTTCAGAGGTTTGAGCTGCGAAAATTGGCTCAGACTGCTTCTTTCATTCCTATTTTTTTAAAATATATTTTTATTGATTTCTAAGAGGTAGCGAGAGGGAAAGATAGAAACATCAGCGATGAGAGAGAATCATCGATCGGCTGCCACCTGCATGCCCCACACTGAGGATGGAGTCCGAAACCCGGACCTGTGCCCTGACCAGGAATGGAACTGTGACCTCCCGGTTCATAGGTCGAGGCTCAACAGGCCAGGCTTTCATTCACATGTTTAAGGCCCAGATCAGTGTCACCCAGCCATCGATAGAAGGGCCAGGGCCCGCGTTCTTGGTCCTCTCTCCGGTCCGTTCCCGAGAGCCGTTCCCGGGGGCAGTGGGGGTGGGGAACGAGGCTGCAGTCGTGCACAGGAGTGAGCAGCGTGTGGTGTTGATGCACAGAAAGCCTTTCTGTGAGGGGGTGGAGCTGTCAGGCTGTCGAGTCAGCAGCCCGGGGCCTATGCTCCCGCGGCCTGTGCTCCCGCGGCCTGTGTTGCTGGTTGGAGGTGATTCTACGCTGCTGACTTCACGGCACCTTTCAAGCCCTGACTCTGAAGTGAGTTTCATTTATCTCCGTTTCTTGGATGAGCAGAGCGAGCAGGGTGTATGTAGCCTTCTGCTTAGTCTGATCATTCATTCATTCATTCATTCATTCGTTCACGCCTACAGCATGGAAATGTGCCCCACACCAGGAGAGCCGTGTTCCTTCGGCGTCCGGCTCGGTCCCGCGAAGGCACGGGGTTCTCTCTCGTGGAGGCGATCGCTTTGTTCTGCCCACGAATTCTTATCAAACACATGTTCACTGTGGGCTGCGCTGGGACCAGCAGTCGGCGCTTTCTTTTCCCCGGAGCCGGGCCTACGTCCTGGGCTTGTCCCGAGGGAGCCAGGCCCCGTGGGATGGCTGTGTGCAGTGTTCGGGGCCGTGGCTAGGTTCCCGAGGACCCACACAGTCTAGTCTCGGGCTGAACTGATAGGACGAGGGGCGTGTACTATGGAGCCCTGGTTTAGTCTAAACTGAAGGTGACTGTAACTTTAAAATACACGTTGGATTTTGAAGATCTGATATGAAATTTAGAATTATTTATAATTGCAATTGCATCGATTCCATGCGGGGTGGCACTCTTCTAGGTATGTCGGATTATACAAAATTATGATTAAAATGAATATAATTTGTTTCTTTTTACTTCATTGCAATGTGGTTATGAACGTATTTAAAACGCCACACGCGGCTCTCTGCCGTGGCTGGCATCTGATTTCCATTAGCGTTTGTGTTTGTTATGGCGCATTGTTTATGATTAAAGGTTGTTTTTAAAACTTTGGCTTTGAAAGGTCAGTTGTTCTCAGCCACTAGAGCTGTCCAGGCGTTAGTAGAAGGATCATTCATTCATTCATTCATTCAACATCTGCAATATGGACATGTGCCCAGCCCCGTCCTAGACGCTGGGCACCCAGGCGTGCGGCCCCATCCCCTGCCCTGAGGAGCTCGTGGTCGGGGGGGTCCTGGGGTTCTCCGAGCTTGGAAGCTGCTGAGGGTGATGCCCTCCGAGAGGGTTCCGGAGGATCCCAGACGCGAGACAGACGGGTCCGGCCATCCCACTGCTCCCTCGTCAGCTCCCCCTCACTCCTCAGTGGGGTTCACACTGAACACCGGCCGCTGTCCTCCGCTCTTTCTTCATCTCAAGCAGGGTCATTGACAGAAGCGCTTGCGTGTTGTTGTGTGTGAACACGTCCTTCCTGTCTGGCCTCGGCTCCTCGTCGTGAACGCGCACGAGGTTGCTGCCTCCGAGCGATTTCTTAGATTCCCAGGTGACAGCGGGGGGAGGGGGAGGGGGGGGCGGTTGGCGGCCTGGCAGGGGAGGAACGAGGGTTTGTGGGCGTCATGGTGCGGACAGCCCACCAGTGCCGTGGGGCCCACAATGCCTGGTGCTCACCAGCCACTCCGCACTGGGGCGTGAGTGAGGGGCGCCCTTTCTCTTTGTATCTGTTTGGGAGACGTTCCTTAAATTTAATTTTTCTGCTGCTTTTGATAACTATAAGTTTAATTGAGTGAGCCTTCTCTTATTCCTCTGTGTTTTATTTTATGCATTTAAAACTTATTCTGATTATTAATTAACCAATGTCACCCCAATAAATTCAATAAAATAAAACAAATTAAAAAATACAGCTCAGGCTGAGAGAAGGGCGTGTCAGGGCTGACGTCGCATTTTAATTCACGGCTTAGCAACCGTCGGTTCAAGTTACCTTGGCTGGTGCGACATAAAACTCGGGCGTATCGTCACCCTATGTGAAAGCTCTTACGGGTCACCTCCTCCCCTGGGAACACCCTGGCCCCGCCGCTGCCGCCCCAGGACCCAGGGAGTCCTGGC